ACAAACAATAGTTATAGAAAATGTGAGCAGCATAATTTATATTATATCCAGGGCCTCCAGAATATACATTTTCCCAAGCTTACTTTGGATATTTATAAAAACTGAACATACACTGGGCCATAAAGAAGCTGGAAAAATACTATATTTAAATCATACAGATTGTTTTGTGACTACAGTGTAATTATAGTAGAAATCAATAGTGAAAAGATCTCACTGTCATCAAGTCAATTCCAACTCACAGTGGCCAGATAGGATGGAGTTAGAACTGCCCCTGTGAGGTTCCGAGATTGTAACTCTTCACAGAAGTAGAAAACATTGTCTTTCTCCCATGGAGCAGCTGGTGGTTTGGAACTGTTGACCTTGTAGATCGCAACCCAACTCATAACCACTATGCCGCGAGGGCTCTAATCTACATCAATAGAAACTCATTAGTATTCTCAGTAACTTTTGAGAGTCCAAACGATCCTGGAACCCAAAAAGGTTGAGAATAGCCGTAGTGAAACAATAATTTTAATTTTTTTAATAGTTCTTACCTAGGAAAATAATTTTGATGTGAAAAGAGACCCATGAACAACTCCTTCCTTTGCCTTGAGACTAAAAGAACCACATGGTAGCTGTCTACTATTACCGAACATTTTTATCAAAGAGCCCATACACAAGTCCTGATCAAAAGGGAGAAACTACAGAACAGAATTTCAAATTCTCGTGAACTTTCTAGAGCCACGGAGACTGGATAAACCCCTGAATCTGTTGCCTTGAGATAATACGTGAAGCTTAAATAGAAAATATACCCTGAATAATATTAAAACTGAGTGTCTAACTGGCTGGGTTGACTAGAGAAAATTCCAGTGACACTCATATATGTATAAGAGAGAGCTTTATCTAAAGAAGTCATGATATATCAAGAGAGCATCCCAGCCCAGTCTGACTCAAGTCTTTATAAGTCCCTCTTCAGACTCTGGCAGCCACGTGCCACGGTGCAGGACCCAGGAAGATCACAGGCGGTGGGTGCAGAGTTGTGTGGATCCGAGGTCAGTGGAAATGTGGCAGGGCTCTGGCAGCTCTCAGGGTCAGTGACAGGGGGAGTAAGAAAGAAGTTCATCAGAAGGCCCTCACCCCAAGGAGTCACCATCAGGCACCCTTTCCTACATCTTCAAGTTGACATACATTGTCCAAGGACCACACCGAGCGATGGCTTAGCTGAACTTGTAAAAAATGCTCTGCCTTGTTAAGAACCATCTATATGGGATCAAACTGACAAAAGTGACTCATGAAAGATTTGATAGGAGTCTTAGGGGGTATGGTTGTATGTTAATGATAAAGAGGAAAAAAACTGGAAAAGGAGGATGAGATGAAGATGGCCTGTGATCCCCAAACCAGGAGAATCAGATGATGCCCAACTACTCCTCCCAACGACTCTCAAACAGGATCATGCGAGAGGCCTGCATAGAGTGGGAGAGACGGTGAAGCAAAACCCAAATCATAAAAGCGACTGGGCTTTCGGGTCAGATAAGAGACGAGTGGAACCCCCGAGACTGTGGCCCAGAGCCACTCCTCAAGTCTAGAACCGAACTCACCCCTGGGGTAGAGTAATCACCCAGTCACATCAAAGGGGCATCTCCACCCAGGGCACCATGCAGTGGGTTAAGATAAAGAATGGATAGAAACAAGAAACACAGAAAGTAGGGTACCTGATGGTACATTGAGGGGATTTCAATGGATGAGTTGAATCAGAAATGTGTATGAATTGTTGAAAGTAAAACTGTGACCTGCTTTGTCAACCTTCACCCAATTCGCACCAGATTATTAAAAAGGGGGGTGAGGATAGTTGCACCACCCAAAGACTCATCAGTGGCGCTGCGTTGCACATGCGGAGGCAGCGGAGTAAGTGTTGTGTACCTTCTCCACAACAAAACGTGGTGGGAGGAACAAGTTCAAATTGACCATCACCACGGAGAATCAGAACGACCCTGGCACCAGGATGGTTTGTGCCTAGGGACAAAGATCGAAGAGTGACTGAGAAGTGCAGACAGTTTGTTACCGGACTGGGATGGGGCATTTGCTTATTCCCACGGCTTTTGGAACAGCCTGTATTATATAATGGAAACACCGGCATGCATTGCTTATGCAGATGGGCTGCAACTTAGTGCAATTATTCATGCTAGCACACGGAGGGTAGGAAGTGGAGTTCCAAAGTCATTTATGTATGTCTTTGGAATTAATTATGTGGAAAGCTATAAGGATATGTTTATATGTCGAACTGTGTTTGCTAGGCTAAATTCGTTTACATTCTAGCAGCTGGAAGAAGTTGTATGCCCCAAAGCCAGAAGAAATCCAGCTGGAGTTAGAAAAGAAGATGCCCCAAATCTGTTCCCGATGTGAATAATTAACAGTATCGAGCAATTATTTATTTATGTATTTTTACCAAGTTCCGTTCGCTTATGATTCATTTTGTTTCTCTTTTGAGGAAATGACCATACCCTGGTGCCTAAAGCGAGCAGAACTAGTGTTTAAGTGTGTCAAAGGTAAGCATGGTCCTTATATCTACTAACAAACTACGTTGTTTCCCTTGTTTCCCCCCGCCCCCCAAATATTGAACATTGAAAGAAATAGGAGAAAAAGTAAGAGAAAGAAAGAAATATGAGAGGAACTCCCGTCCTCTGGTACCTCATACGACAAGTCCTTCATAAAGGGCACTTCTCACGTAGCGTTTTCCCATCAGAAAACAAGTTAGGCCCCTAGAAGAGAAGAACACTTGAGTGGTGTTTATGCATTGCTCTGATTCTAGCTTGCTCTCCAGCGCCTTTTATTTTCTTAAAAGGAAGTAAGATAAAAGTGGGGGGGGGAGATATTTAGTTGACCTTTAATAATTTGTTTTAGCTTCACAGGATAGGTCTAAACGGGATCTGAGAAATCCTAAATGTGCATTGTTGTCGAAACGATGGGAAGCCTCTGGTGTGGGGCATCAGGGACTGCAGGAGTCTACCTGTCGTTGGGCTTAGCCTCTGCTATGAGCTCCACCCTCACTGCCAACTTGGAGCAGCGCTATGGCAGAATTGCCCGTGTGGGTTTCCCAGACTGCAACTCCATACGGGAGCAGAGAGCCTTCTCTTTCTCCTGAGGAGTGTGGTAGTTTCAAACTGCTGACCTACCTGTTAGCAGACCAACGTGTAATGTACTAGATGCCATGAGGGCTCCTTCCTCTAGCTAGTGGCTGCCTAAGGAGTTAGGGCACGGATTCTTACAATAAGAACTCCGCTGGTCTCAGTAAGTGACTAGGAGCTGTGACGAGCGGAGCTCTGAGTGAAAGTCTCCCCCTTGTTCCATTTGAGGGTTCATGATGGAGATGGCTTCGTGGGATGGAGGAATTTCTAGGACAGTGCAGTTTCTGGTACCACAGGTATGTTCTCTGATGATATCCCACCTCAATCTAATCTCATCTCTCATCATATTCCTCTCACACTTCTAAATATTACACAATCAGATGCTAACAACTTCTTATTTGTAAAGGGAACATTTGCTTGGATTACCCAAACGTACTTAATTTATTGTCAGAGATGGCAGCATCCACCACCAAGGGATCTCTTATTTGACCCCAGACTGATCCATGCTGACTTTGTTTTTCGCCCATTTGGAATATGTAAATGATGACGAGCTCATAGTAAAGCATTAGCAGAAATTCTTAGATCTCAGCTCTTCTCTGTAGATCTTGGCAACATCGGCGATGAGTACTTCCCCCATTCCTTTCGTGGTCTTCAAGGGGTTTCTAGTGATCACACTTAGGGTTCCACAGAAACAACGCAGGTTCTCAGAGGAGGCCAGAAAGGCCTCGCCTGCTTTTCAGAGTGAAGCTATCCCCGCCATTTAAGATCATTTTCACCCGTATCTAGAATGCGTGCCATGTTTTAAGTCCTTTTCTGAGAATTTTTAAAAAGATAACAAAGGAAACCCTTTTTCTTTTCTTTAACCTCTTACAGAGTATCTCTGAAGAAATGTTTTATCAGCTTAGTAACATGCTTCCCCAGATATTCCGAGTGTCGTCAACTCTCACCCTGACATCCAAGCACTAGCGCCGCCTGCGTGCTGGCAGGAGAAGACTGCTGAGAGCCCCAGCAACGGGGCTCCGCTGAGACGCCGCCGAGAGAAAGACGCCCAGAAAGAAGACCTGCACCCCAGCCACCAAGCACGCTACGTGGGATAAGTGTGCTGGCCATGTCGGTCCATGCGTATACTGCGCTCACCAGGGAGGCCCTGACCTGCACATTTACGCCTGAAGCCCCCATGAAAGCACAGCCTGTCTTTGCCCAGGGCAGTAGGACGTCGTTTGTGGGGTTCCACCGGGGACTCTGGGAAAGCCAGAACTTCCTGTACCACACGTGGACGCACTTCCCATGGGAGACAGGATTCCGTTTTCAGGGAGACATTTAACTTTTCCAAAAGGTTTGAATTATACCGTGTCTATACCAGGCTTGATTGGGCAGGCAAATAAAATCATCTTTCTACCATATTTACCAAGTAAAAAATTAAAGCGCACTGAAATGCACATGGCCAGCATGGGTTTCCTGTGACAGTCCTTTATGTGGAACACATAAGAACAAATGTGCTGATTCCTCTCAGTTCTATTGCAAAAAACAGCTGCTAGTGTACTCTTTCTAAGGTTTTATGAGTTCGAGTCAGAAAAGGGTTTGAGATTCTTGATCACTGTCTCATCTTTCCTGTGTGACCTTGCCCTTGTCTATTTATAGCACTTAATGGGCTGAGAAAATATTGTGCTCATTTGCAAGCTTGATGTAACGTTACATCTAACTTAGGACCTGGCTCTTTCATGCTGTCCCACCGTGTGACGATCAGACCCTATTACTCAGAAGAGATCTTTTTTATTTCTCTTTCAGCCTTTCTGCACACTCAGCCTCCTCAGCCATGTTTCTACTCAAACCCTCTCCTTGTCCACATGTCGATCTTGGATCGCGATCCGCCGTCTCTTCATGTGCTACTTCTTTCTCAGGTGGTGCACCCCTTTTATTATCCCAGCTGAGTCAAACTCAGAGAGTTTGTTTTATTTTTGTTTTGTTTTGGTTGTTGTGTAGTAACTATATAGAACAAAGGGTCATCTGCAGATATTTATAAAAGCAATGTTGTTGTTAGGTTCTGCCAAATTGGTTCCAACTTTGGGTGACCCTGTGTTGAACAGAACAAATCTCTACCTGACGCTGCACCACCCTTACCATCGGTGCTGGGTAGAGCCCACTCCTGCAGCTTCTGCCAGTCTCTCCCCAGGCAGGCCTTCCTCTTTGTCTCTGGCAAAGTCTCACTGTCCTCCTCCCTAGGGAGCGTTCTGACCGTACTGCTTCCAAGACAGGTCTTTTCATTCTCGCAGCGCGCCCTGCTTATGAACACCACACCATACTCAAAGGCACTAATCTTTCCCCCTTCTGCCTTAGGCAGTGTCCAGCTCTCACACGCAGATGAGGCCATTTACAATACCGCGAGGGCTTGCTTCCAGGCCCTCAAAGGGACATCTCTGCATTATCACACTTTAAAGAGGTGTTTTTGTAGCCAATTTGCCCAATGAAATGCAATTTTTGATGTCCTGGCTGCGGTTTCTGTGGGTATTGAATAAAAGTAATCGTGTAATCAAATCCAAGTTGTCTGGACAATTGTCACTGGCCGACTGAATTCAGTGAAGTACCTTTGGCATCATGAGATGGTATGCATTCATGCCAAGACACAGAAAGCACTCTGTGAACATGTCTACTTGTAATAAATGTTACAGAAATCCTACTGAAACGCAAAACGCTTTCCCGCCATTCAGGATGTGTTCACTGTCTGCTCACCGGAGAGGTATGACCAAGTAACAACCCCGAAGAGAGGCCAGGACTCCTCACACCCTCTGCTGCAGCGTGTCCACTCAGCACTAACACTTTCCCAATTCTTGATTGGAGAATCTGTTAAAGCCACCAAGAAGGCAGGCACATTGGACTGAAAGCCTGTAGCTTGTAGAAATTGCATTTCCAGCACCCTGTCGTCACGGGCACTGGCCCTAATGGAAGCAAGGTACACAAGTAGATACGAGAGGTGTGTGTGCCACAGAGTGTCTTCGTTTGGAATGTGTCCGACCACATACTGGGCTGACAACAAGGCAATCACAAAAAGGCCCTGAGGACCTTTCCACAGAGTTCCTGCAGCTAGCTGAGGTCATAGCAGCAGCTTACAGAACATGCAGCCAAGGGACAGGGTGTAGCAGCAAGGATTCATTCACAGATCTGGTAAATGCTGACTGACCCTCTCTCTGTCACCTCCGAGCTGTTGTCGTTAAGTTACTTATAAAGTAATGGCTTTCACCTCAGAGTAACTTAAAGGTACTGCTTGGCCTATTACGGTATTCTGAAATTGAGATATCCATTTTTCACATGGGACCATATTATGAAATATGCAGAAGCAGTAGGATTCTGCTGTAAGAAGGGAAGTCATGCTTATGGGTTACATTCCACTGAAATGAAAACAAATGTGAATCTGAGAACCAATGCATAATGTAAAATACTAATTAGATGCATTTAGGTGGGGGAGGATGTTTAATGAAGTAGTCGAGAAAGTCAGGCGTTTGATATGTGGGAAGATCTGGATTCGATTATCACTTTTTTTCTGATTTCTTGGGTGATTGATGGAATAGGAAGGGCATGTCCACGTACCAGGTACAGATAGAAGCAGAGGTGGTGAACTGGAGAAGGACATTTTTTTTTATCATTTTATTAGGGGCTCATACAACTCTTATCACAATCCATACATACATCAATTGTGTAAAGCACATTTGTACATTCATTGCCCTCATCATTCTCAAAACATTTCCTCTCTACTTAAGCCCCCGGCATTAGGTCCTCATTTTTCCCCTCCCTCCCTGCTCCCCTCTCCCTCATGAGCCCTTGATAATTTATGAATTATTATTTTGTCATATCTTGCCCTGTCCGACGTCTCCCTTCACCCACTTTTCTGTTGTCCGTCCCCCAGGGAAGAGGTCACATATAGTTCCTTGTAATCGGTTCCCCCTTTCCAACCCACTCTCCCTCTACCCGCCCAGTATCGCCACTCACACCACTGGTCCTGAAGGGATCATCGTCCCTGGATTCCCTGTGTTTCCAGTTCCTATCTGTACTAGTGTACATCCTCTGGTCTAGCCAGACTTGCAAGGTAGAATTCGTGTCATGATAGTGGGGGCGGGGAGGAGCATTTAGGAACTAGAGGAAAGTTGTATTTCTCATCATTGCTACATATCCCCCCCTGACTGGCTCTTCTCCTCCCCGAGACCCCTCTGCAAGGGGACTTCCAGTGGCCTACAAATGGGCTTTGGATCTCCCCTCCGCACTCCCCCCATCATTCACATGGTAAGATTTTTTGTTCTGATGATGCCTGGTACCTGATCTGGAGAAGGACATTTTCCTTGGTAAAGTGGAGGGGCAGTGCAAAAGAGGAAGACCCCCATAAGATGGATTGCCACCGCGGACTGAAACCTAAGGGCAGTGGTGAAGATGGCGCGGCCGGTGGTGGTAAGTTCTGTTGTACATCGGGTCACGGTGAGCGGGAGCTGACTCAGGCGCCTGACAGCAAGTTAAATTGGCCAGTACCTTCAGAGTAACCAACCAGAGAGTCGTTTTAGGAGGAGAGGTCCTTGGACCATCGTGCAAACACTGTTGGAGAGGGTCACGTGGACATGAAATTTTCTAGTTGCACACACAGTTAAATGTTCCTCAGACACTATGGTCCTTGCGCTTGTAAAACATGCTTTGGAGGTGCCGTCTTGTCAATCACTGGAGTCTACAATTTGTCCCACTCTTTCCTGCTCTTCCTTGAGTTTTGCTATCAGAGCACCAAACCCAGTAAAGCTGTATCCCTGCCAGTAATCCAGAGGGGTGGTGCCAACCGGTCCGCAGTAATGCGGCATGGAAACGAATTTTCACGGGGAGACAGCTTAGTGTTCATAAGAGTTGGCAGATCTCTTATTGGCACAGCACACACCATCATTTATGTCACCTTCTGGCTCGTTCTCACAAGGAGCAAAAGGGTCCGTGATGGAGAGATGAGTGCGCCAAAGCAGCCCTGTTCGAGAGGCCCTGGCAGCAAGTCAGCAAAGCCGCGTCGAAAGCAGGAGCAAGCTTAGAGCGGAACCCCGCGGCTGTTTCAGTTTGTAGATGAAGGTGATTGCTGTTTCTCCTTTAATTTCCCCATTTCCTTGGAACGGCTGCTTTTCTCAAAAGTAATAACAACAGTGTAAAAGCCATTATCAATTGCAAAATAAAAATATTTCAACACCTATTCATAAAGAAAAAAACTACAAAGAAAAACCAACAACAAGCTTGTTGCTGGCTTTAAGCACTTACCCATGAAGGACAGAGACTGGAGCATTCGGTGTGAATTAGGCTCCAATGTGAAGAAGGAGAGAATCTTCACAACAGCCCAGAAAACACATCATGATAAATGGAGGAACAGTTGGTGTTCTCAGCAATGTTTTCCTTCTCAGATAATGATCAAAGTCCATGGAAGCAGCCGTCAAGAATTCGCACTGCCCGTTTCATCTGCTAAATCTACAAAAAAGACCTTTCTAAGGTTTCAAAGTCATGTGATCACTTGGATGACTAAGTTTCAGCGTGATCTTTTTCAGTCATTTCAGATGCTGGGCGGTGACACAAGAATGACTTCGGCATGTGGCGTTGGCAAAGGATACTGACTATACCATGACTTCAGAAGAGCGAACACATCGGTCTTAGAAAAATACAACTAGAGAGTCCCTTAGAACAAGGGTGGCAAGACTTCAGCTTGCTTACTTTGGACTTGTCCTCAGGAAACACCAATGGCCAGTAAAGGACGGCATGTTTGGTAAAGCAGACAGTAGGCAAAAATGAGGGCACTTCTGAAAATGGATTGACCCAACGGTCAGACGATGGACTCAAATGTGCTGATGATCATGGAGGTGGCACACCACCAGGCCAAGTTTCATTCTTTCATGCATGAAGTGCTCGCAAGTCAAAGCTGGCTTGATCGCCACTAACAAATACCATAATGAGGAAAGTGGGTCAGTGAGAAAAAGGAGGACCAGCCGAATTCATAATGCCCTGTTCTTCCACCCGCAAGCAACCTTACTATTCTGCTCCCAAAAGTTTCTGAGATATTTTGGAAGTGTTTGCTGAGCAGCCAAATGGAATTTGGGGTTAGTTGTAAATCCCAAGACATGTCTGTGGAGCTGAGCTTCTGATTATTCATAAAATTCATATAATTCTAGGCAAATTTACCAAAAAAGATCCCCTAAAAACAACAACTTGGTATTCCATATAACCCCGTGGGGTCTTCTCCTAGTGAAATATAGTTTTGCAAAGATTCTTTAAATAGCTCATGATAAAGGACCACTAAGTTCAAGAATCCCAAGCTTTAGGAGTATGAACGTACTACAAAGGGAGGGCAGAGGGAAAGGCAATATAAGAACGGGACCCTAAGAATCCTATTCAATAAGCAACAGATATTTACCAGGTTCCTTTCCTACATAGAGGCACAATACTCAGGAAGATTCCACCTCTGGAAGGCTGTATTGAGCATTGGAATTGGAGGGACTACTTGACTAGAGTAAGGCTTGGCAAGGGTTTCTGTGATCTGTGATGCAGAACTCTGGAATAACCTAAGGAAAAAATCCCAGGTCAAACGATGGAAAGGATGAGTACCTTCTGAAGTTCCCTGCCGAACTAATCTGTGTTTGTGACGTCTGATGTAAATGTACACCCACTGCTAAGGTTGAGAAACACTTCAGATCTCCTTTGGTGTTCCCTTCCTGTGTTCCCATAAAGGGCGGTGGGGAGGGGGGGGCGTTTTCGGATTTAACCAAATTAATATATATCAGGCTTTCTGGTACATCGAAATCTAAGACTTGCCTGAACCTCAGTCTGCAGCTGTGTCTTCTCTCACAGGCAAGGAAGCATACAGAGGTCTCCGTGGGTCTCTTTGCATAAGGAGACTAAGACATGGAACCCATTACCGAAGCATCACAAGCATCCTTTCTGGAAATGTTTAAGCATCAAAGCAGCGAGCGTGCTGTTTGCCAAGGGTTAGAAGTGACATCTGTGAAAGGAAAGTGTATCATAGTCCTCTTCCTCTTCCTTGCTTGTTTTCTACTCTTCTCTCCTTTCCCCCAACCTACCTCCATGGGGGCTTTCTGTATCATGCATCCCACAGCTCATCTGCGCTCAGAACTCTCCTATTCAGAGCCACGGCACAGCGTCATGGACGAAACAAACCCGGCTCAAATATGGACTCCTCACTTGCTTTCTGTGGCTTGTTACATTGGGTGTATTATCTAACCCTTCTAAGTATGGCCCTTCATCTGTAAACCAGGAAAAGGTAATAATAGCAGCCACCTCATTGAACAGTTGGAAGGATTAAATAAGAAAGTGCACACTACCTGGCATATTCTATAAACATTTGCTCCTGTTATCCTTCCTTCCTTCCTGTCTCACCTTCCTTCCTTCCTTCCTCTCTGCCTGACCTTTTGCTTCCTTTCATTAGATAGTACGGATACATTGTCACAACATCATGTCCTCAAGGAGTTTATAACCTAATTCAATTGGGAAGATTATACACACAGTACCAGCCAATATACCTG